AAGGATGGCAACTTAGGGCAAATTATTTAGCATGAGTTTCAGGCTTCTCATCGTCACTGGAGACCACACCAGCCACCCCTGGGCGGTGGTTATGTGAATGAGCACAGGGAAAGTGCTCTGACACACACGGAAGTCCAAAAGAGCATCTGTTGCTACCGACATCTATCTACATGGGAAATGTCGACTTCTCAGATCATAGGCAATGAGGATCAATTTTTTTAAAAAAACGTGAATTTTCACTTGCATTTGAAATGAAACCACTGAAATTGTTTTTAGAGTATTTTGAATTCAAACATTATAGAACTGTAAAAGACATATACCAGTCTGTCTTCCTCATCATTTTATACTATTTTAGGTGAAAATGACATAAAGTCAGCCACTTTAAGGTAAATGATTCAGTGGCACTTAGTACATTCACAGTATTGTGCAACCAACTCTATCAAGTTCCAAAACATGTTCATCACCACAAAAGAACCTCATACCCATTAAGCAGCTGCCATTCCCTACTTCCCCAGGCCACGGCAACCACAATCTACATTCTATATCTATTAACTTACCTCTTAAGCATATTTCAAAAGAATGACGTCATACAACATATGACCTTTAGTGTCTGGCTTCTCTTACAAAGCATAGTATTTTCAGGGTTCATTCACATTCTATCATGTATCAGCATTTCATTAATTGTTATAGCTAAATAATATCCCAATATCCCAATGTATGAAGAGACCATAATTTGTTTATCCATCCACCCACTGATGGACATCTGGACCGTCATCACCACCTTTTGGCAATTGTATACAGTGCCGTGATAACAGGGGTATATGTGTATTTGTGTTTGAGTCCCTATTTTTAATTCTAAATTTATCTGGGAATATCTTAATTTCGCCTTCATTTTTGAGTGATAGTTTTACTAGCATAGAATTTTCTGCTGACGGTTTCTCCTTTTCCAACTTTAAAAACATCACCCCACTTCCCCCTGCAGATGGCTCCTCACCTCACTGAGGACCCCTTGCATGTGCTAAGCCGCCTCTCTTGCCGTTTGCAGGGTGTGCTCTTGGTCCTGGGGTTTCAACTGTTTGATGGTAATGTGTCTTAGTGTGGATCTCTGCATTTATCCTTCTGGGGTTCAGTGCACTTCCTGAATGTGTAGATTTGCGTCTTTTCTCAAATTCGGGGAGTTAATGGCCATTATTCTTTCAAGTATTCTCTCTGTGCTCTCTCTCCTCTCCTTCTAAGATGCCCATCACATGTACCTTAGTACACTTGATGCTCCCCCACAAGTCTCTTAGGATCTGTTTATTTTTCTTCATTCTACTTCTTGCTCCTCAGACTGGATAATTTCAAGTGGTCTAGGTTCAAGCTCACTGATTCTTTCTTCTGCCACAGCTCAAATCTGCTACTGAAACTCTCTAGTGAGTTTCTCTCTTCATCTATTGTACTTTTCAGCACCAGAATTTCTTACTTCTTTTTTTAAAACTTACATACCTTTACTGATATTCTCCATCTGTTAACATCTCATTCTGGTACCTTTTAGCAATTTGTCCATTGTTTGCCTTAGCTTCCTGAACATATCTGAGGCGGATGACGTCGTGTTTGTCTAGCAAGTCCAATGTCTGGGCTTCCTCAGAGACAATTTTTGTTAATTTCTTCTGTGAATGGGCTACACTTTCTTTGCATGCTTTGTAATTTTTTGTGGAAAAGTGGGCATTTTGAGTATTATAATCTGGTAACCCAGGAAATGAGCTATTTCCCCCCTCTTCTGGGTTTGTTTTGCTGCTTGGTATATGCTATAGCCATGTATATTTAGTGACTTTTCTAAACTATTTTTGTGAAGCATGTATTCTTTGTTACATATGGTGACAAAGAGGGAGGGAGGGAGGGAGGGAAGGAGGGAGGGAGGGAGGAAAGAAGACAGAAAGGAAGAACAGCCTCTTCCAGCCTTTGCAGACTGTGGCTCTGCTGGGGACCCCGTCGCTTAGCCTGGCTGTTAATAACTCTGCCTCAGCCTTCGCTTCCGCCTGTCCTGAGCCTAGAAACTGGTCAGAAGCAAAAGACCTTCTCAGGCCTTTTCTGAGCTTGCATCCAGCTCTGGCCTTGAATGTAGCTTTCAAAATTCCCCGAGCAAACAGGGGCACTTTGGATTCTCTCGCATCTTTTCCTGCCTGGAAGGGACACTCTCGTGTGTGAACCCCAACTAATCTTTGCCTGGCTACTCCGGCTGTACCCGAGCCTTACACAAGAAGAAACGCCTGCAGCTTTTCAGCCTTCCTGCCCTGAATTCCAGGTTAGGTGAAAGACAGGCGAGTGAACTGGGTCAGTCCTTCAAGTAGCCCCCAGACAGGTTAGACAGACAGACACAAAACTTTGCAATCTCGTCCTGCTCTGTGCCCTCCAGGGCCGGGTCCAGAGCCCAGACTGGGAACATGGCTGCTGCTGTCTTCCAGGCGGCTGCCGGGACAGGGAGCAGGTGGAGCAAAGGCAGGTGAAAATACCAAAAGGCTTTCCTACGATTTTTAGGAGGCCTTTACCTGGATGCTGTAAACTTTGACTGTTTCCAGAGTTCTGACGAAGTTAGCTCTGCCACTTTCTGCTTGATTTGTTGAGCTGCGTACTCTGTCATTTTTGCTAACATCACCTCACCGTTTATTTGTGAATGATACAATTCGTGCCCAGAAACAAATCTCTGCTCAGCCCAAATTCCACAACACAAAACAATTTCACACATAAGCCAGAACCTACACTGTATTCCAAAACAGACAAACCGAAGTCACACCTAATCCACGTGGCCACCCTGCGGATTCTTTTCCGCAGAGCTAAAGCTTACCCTATTTTCCACAACACCTTTCCTCTACCATGCCAACACTTGAAGCATTAAAGCTTTTTAATAATTAATTTTTCAATTAAATTGAGAAAGAACAGTCTTTTCAACAAATGATACTGGGGTAACTTGTTGTTCACATGCAAAAGGATGAGAAGCCACATCACATACAAAATACAAAATGAAAATGGGTCAAGACCTGAACGTAAGAGCTAAAACTATAAAACCCCTAGAAGAAAATACAGAAGTAAATCGTTGTAACTTTGGGTTGGCAAACTGTTCCTTAGATACAACCCCAAAACATAAGCAACAAAAAGAAAAAAACAGATGAACTCGGACTTCATGAAAATTAAAAACTTTTGTGTATCAGGGGACACCATCAAGAAAGAAAAAATACAACCCACAGTATGAGACAATATAGTTCCAAATCATATATATCTAACATGGGACTTAAATCCAGAATATACAAAGAACTCCCACAGCTCAACAATTAAAACAGGTAACTCAGTTTAAAAGCAGGCAAAGAATGTGAATAAACATTTCTCCAGAGAAGATATACTAATGGCCAGAAAGCACATGAAAAGACGTTTAACATCATTAGTCATTAGGGAAATGCAAACCGAAGACACAGTGAGATACCACTTCACACCCACTAGGATGGCTACGGTCAAAAAGAGAGACAAGTGTTGTTGAAGATGTGGAGAAACTGGAACCCTCTCACGTTGCTGGTGGAAACGTAAAATGGTGCAGCCAATTACGAAAATAGTTTGGCAATTCCTCAAAAACACGGAATTACTGTACAATCCAGTAATTTCATGCCTAGGTATATATACAAAAGGAATAAAAACAATGTTCACACAAAACTTGTACACAAATGTTCACAGCAGCATTATTTATAATGGCCTAAAAGTGGAAACAACCCAAATGTCCATCCATATGATACATCATACAGTAGAATATCACCTGGCAACAAGAAGACGCTAAGTACTGGTATATGCTGCAACATGAATGCACCTTGAAAACATGATGCCAAGTGTCAGAAAACAGTGACAATAGGCCACACACTACATGACTCTATCTATATGAAATGTTTGGAACAGGCAAATCCATAGAGATAGAAAGTAGATCAGCGGTTGCCTGGGGCTGGAGTGGGATAGGGAAGCGGCAAGAATGGGAAATGCCTGCTAACAGATATTCAGAGCTTCTTTCTAGAATGTTAAAAACGTTCTGAAATTAGATGGTGGTGATGTTTTCACAACTCTGTGAATACACCCAAAACTATTGAACTGTATATTTTAAATGGATGAATTTTATGTTATGTGAAAATACCCCAATAAAGCATAAAAACACTTTTTGGACAATTAAAAAATAATAATAATTCATTGTACAAATGTCCATGTATAAACAGAAGACATAAACTCCACTCTAAACCTCTCCATTTTTAAACAGGCTCTGAGTCATTATGAATATCCATTTAGTTTTTAACTGTCACTTTCTACTGTCATAATGCTTACCTGTAATAGCTTCACCCACTCTCTCCCTAATACATTGCTCCTTTTCTACAATGGACTGAAAAACCAAATAAACAACTCTCAAGAACATAAACTGGGCGAGGGTTAAAGCCTTACATGAACGTTACAGGGAGATCGGTGCATATCAGTTACCACTTTGGACCATGACATTTGTTTCGGATGCTCAAAGCCCTCTTCCTTAAGTATAGTTTAAGGCCAAGATACCAGATGTCTGACCTCAATGACTGTGTTTAAGATATAAAGCAAAGAGAGACTTTAGAGGAAGTGATAACTACCCTTCACAGACAATGTGTACACGCCAGTTGAGTTTCACGTGTCTCTAGTACACGTGCATTATATACAAACTGTAACAGAGCGCACTCTAAAACTATTAATATTTATGTATATGTATGTGTGCATGCATGTGTTTAAGGGTTTGTATATATATTAATATTCATAAACACATACATCCAAGCATCTAGAGAATGAATAAAAAGCTACCCTGAAATTATATGCATTATATTATTATAAGAAAATTAATTAGACAACACACAACCGCATAATACTATTTTCAGTAACAAAATTAAGACGTGTTTTCTTACATTTATGTTAATTCTAAAATGATGATTATATTAAACAATGGTAAACTGAATTAAAAGTGTCTTGCTCACCTCTTACTGTAAGCTTGCTGTATAGTTGTGAATTCACTTCCTTGTCTCGCTGAAAACGCCGAAATTCATCAATTGCTTCCCTCATGATAGTAACAGCCAAGACAAACCCCTTTAAACAAAATAAAACAAAGTATTTGAGAAACCTGGACTTCAACAAAAAGGGAAAATTCTTTTACTGTTTAGCTTTACTTTTTTTCGTTCAATTTATATTAGTTGTAAAATATACAATAATTGAAAAGAAAAAAGACAAAAAGTAACAAACACTACAAAAGGAACATAGTAATGCATAGTGAAAGATTTACAATTCTTACTATACCCCAGAAAACTTAAAAAATTCACACCTTAATATGTACTTCAAGCTAAACACCAGAAAATATTTAATAACCCAAAGAAAAAGAAATTAATCTTCAATAAACCCATGAATTATATTTAGAACACTCAGGCATTCAAATATCACATTAACAAAGACTGACATAAAAATCTTATGTCACTCAAATCTCTCTGATAGAATAAAAGCACGTAGGAACACAAAACAATTCCCATACATGACACTTACACATCCACCTCCTTACATCAAGCATTAATGCAAGTGCATTTGAGAGCACAGCTATGGCCATAGTGCTCTTCTTCTCTCATTTTGTTAAGCAAAACCCTGAACAGATGAGTTTGATTCTATCGAAATAAAACTTCTGTATACTTGTAATCTATTGTGAAATCTGTTACTAACACATGGCTAACGTCCATCTTTTTTAAAGGCTACACACGTATTTTCTGACACACAATACAAGAATATTCTTCAAGTCAAGTTCCCTATGATTAAAGAGAGACCTCTTCAGTAGGCTTCATTTTAATGACAAACATGCTCCAGCGTACCACGTAAATTACACAACACTGGATGAATTTCCATTGAAAGTACAATAATCTCTTATTCCAGGTTTATTGTTTTTGGTTTTTTTTTTTAATTAAAAGAACACCTTTGTTTATTGACACTGAAATTTAAATTTTATATAATTTTTATATGTCATAGCATATTATTCTGCTTTTGATGCTTTTCAAACATTTAAAGTTTAAAAGCCATTCTTAGCTTTCAGGCTGTACAAAACAGAGGGAGGTCCAGATTTGGCCCATGATTTGCCATCCCTGCTTTTATTTATTTATTTTTAATTTAATTAACTGATTTATTTACTTATGGCTGCGTTGGGTCTTCGTTGCTGCGCCGGCTTTCTCTAGTTGCGGCGAGCAGGGGCTACTCTTCATTGCGGTGCACGGGCTTCTCATTGCGGTGGCCTCTCTTGTTGCAGAGCACGGGCTCTAGGTGTGCGGGCTTCAGTAGTTGTGGCACGCAGACTCAGTAGTTGTGGCTCATGGGCTCTAGAGTGCAGGCTCAGTAGTTGTGGCGCACGGGCTTAGTTGCTCCGTGGCATGTGGCGTCTTCCCGGACAAGGGCTCGAACCCGTGTCCCCTGCATTGGCAGGCGGATTCTTAACCGCTGTGCCACCAGGGAAGTCCACCATCCCGCTTTTATTGTTTTATATTTTTTAAATTAATTTTTATTGGAATACAGGTGATTTACAATGTTGTATTAGTTTCTACCGTACAGCAAAGTGAATCAGCTGTACATAGGTTTTTTTCTGTCTAACCAATAGGCTAAAGTAAGTAGGCCTCCGGAGAATGTTTCTTGTGTTTACTGAAGTGCAGTCCTCTTTAAGCAGTTGTGCCTGACGGCTGGTATGAGGCTCCAGGCTCAGTGCACATGGCCCAGTTCTCCACTCACCCAGTAGCCTTCAGTCTTGACGTTCATGGTACAGGCACCACCTGTAAGCAGCGTCACTACTGCTCTCTGACTCTCAGTGTCATCACGGATCACCACCTGCTGACTGTGCTTCCCAACACGCCTGAGGCCTGGACCACTCTCAGCGGCGATGTGGGAGCCTGGCCCAGGCCCGCTTGGTTCTCACGGCCACCATCACTACTGGGCCAGCCTCCCACCTCTAGCCTCATTCCCCTCAAAGTCATCCCTCCACAGAGTTCCCAAAGTACCTTCTGCAATATAAATTTGACAAATATGTGGCAAAATCCTCCTCCAGGGATGGGCCCCATCAATTCACTGCCTGAAACCTCAACAGTCCCCGCTGTTTACGCTCCTTCGCTAAAGCACAGCCTTAAGGACAGACCTCTAGCCTCATGGCCCACTCAGTGCCGCTTTTATCCTCCAACGCCAGGACACTATCAGCAGTCTCCTGCAACAGCATGACACCTCCCATCCGGTCTTTGCCAGTGTCTTTCCAGTGGCTGCTAAAAGCACTATTTTAAGAAGTATTCCAAAGCTACTCTTGGAATCAGAAAGAGAAGCCATGAACAGCAGTTGCCAGTGGGCCCCACCCACAGAGAGGAAGAGGCAGGCACGGCACGTGCCAGGGATTTGCCATCACCGCCTGAAGACAGCTGACGATGGGCAGAGCGTGACCCTCACGTAGCAGGACCTTTAGCACACATTTTTTTTTAGTAACAGTTTTGTTCAGATTAATTCACATACCCTAAAATGCTTTTAAAGCATGCATGTCACTTGTTTAGTTTATTTACAGAGCTGTGCCTCTGTCACCACCATCGAGTTCTAGAGCATATTTATTTATTTATTTTATCACCCCGAAAAGAAACCCCAACAGCAACCAGTCCCCATTCCCCCTCCGGTCCCCGCCCTGGAAACCACTAATCTACCTTCCGTCTCTGTGGATTTGCCTATTACGGGTGATTCGGTAACCTCGACGTTTAGCTTCCTGACAAGCTGCCAAACTGTTTTCTAAAGCGAGTACACCAATTTTCATGTGTTTATTGCCCATGTGTATATCTTCTTTGGAGAAATGTTAATTCAGATCCTACAGCCACTTTAAAACTGGGTCAACTTATCTTTAAATTGTTAAGTTGGAAGAGCCCTTTATATCATTCTGGATACAAGTGCCTTGTCAAATATGTGACCTACAAATATGATGTTACAAACACTTTCTCCCATTCTGGATTATCGTTTTACTTTCTTGATGGTGTCCTCTGATGCACAGAAGTTTTTAGTTTTGATGAAGTCCAACTTACTCAAGTTTTTTCTCTTGTCACTTGGGCTTTTAAGTGTCCAAGATCACAAAGATTTACTTCCATGCTTTCTTCTAGGAGTCCTACAGTTTCAGCTTCATTTAGGTCTATGATCCATTTTAAGTGACGTTTTGTGTGTGCTATGGTAGGGGTCCAACTTCATTCCCTCCCACGTGCTGTCCAAACGTCCCAGCACCATCTGTTGGAGACTACTCTTTCTCAATTGAACCGTCTTGGTACCTTGTTGAAAATCCATTTGTCATAAATGTTTATGTCTGGACTCACCATTGTATCCTTTGATCTACATACCTATCCTTCTACCAGTACCACATTCTCTTCATTACTACAGCTCTGTAAGAAGTTTCAAACGGGGAAGTGTGAGTCCTACGACTTTGACCGACTTTTCTAGGTTGTTTTGGCTACCCTGGGACCCTGCCACTGCTGCATGCATTTTAGAATCAGCTTGTCAATGCCTCTGCAAAAGAAGCCAAATGGGATTTTGATTCGGATGCGCTGAATCTGTAGATCAGTTTGGAGGTCCTGTCAATGTAATACTAAGTCTTTCGATTCTTGAATGTGAGGCGACTTTCCATTTACCTAGATCTTAATTTTTTTCAAAAATGTTTTATAGTTTTTGATATGCACTTTAGCTAAACCTATTCGTTTTTTTTTCTTTTTGATGCTGTTATAAACAGAATTGTTATCCTAATTCCATTTTCAGATGATCATTGCTAGCGTATAGAAATACAAATGATTTCTGTGTATTTATCTTGTACCCTACAGCTCACTAACTTGTTCCAATATTTTTGTGTGTGCATGGATTCCTTAGATTTTCCTACATACAAGATCATGCCATCTGCGAATAGAGACAGATAGCTTTTCTTCTTTTCCATCTAGATGCCTCCTATTTCTTTTTCTTGCCTAACTGCACTATTCATTTTACCTTCAATAAAATGTTGAATGGGAACAGTGGGAGTAGCCATCTTTGTCTTGCTGCCGACCTTAGGGGGAAGCATCCAGTCTTTTACCATTAAAAGTATGTTAGCTGTGCAAAGTACAAAATTTTAAGAACAAGAGAGATTTCTATATTATGACCAAGTATCTCCATACTAGAGGGAAGTATGTGCTCTAGGGACAAATGGCCAGCTTCTCCAAAGCTGGTAACTTGTCATGACAAAGCAGTGATGAAATACAGTGGTCATCAAAGAAACTATTAGTTGGGGGCAGAGAATTACTCTTATCCTGAATGCAAATTCATCATTTTATTAGAGCTAGTGTTAGCAAAGGTAAGACAAAAATAAAATAAAAGCATCAAATATCAAAAAAATTAGCTTTAAGAAATTTAGTATTATCAAAAGCCTTAAAATTTATACACATATTAACCAAGCAGCTTCACTTCTAGAAACTTAGCCTAAAGAAAAAAATAAAACAAAATCAAGGATCCCAGCACTGAATATGAAAAAACTGGAAACCTGAAAGTCCAAATAAGAAATTTATGATATTCTTATATGATGAAATATTTTATTTCCCTAATTCAAAGATGCTATTGATTTTAAGATACATCATTATTGGGACTTCCCTGGTGGCGCAGTGGTTAAGAATCCGCCTGCTAACGCAGGGGACACAGGTTCAAGCCCTGGTCCCGGAAGATCCCACATGCCATGGAGCAACTAAGTCCATGTGCCACAACTACTGAGCCCGCGTGCCACAACTACTGAAGCCCCCGCGCCTAGAGCCTGTGCTCCGCAACAAGAGAAGCCACTGCAAGGAGAAGCCCGCGCACCGCAACAAAGACTAGCCCCTGCTCACCGCAAGTACAGAAAGCCTGTGCACAGTAACAAAGACCCAACACAGCCAAAAATAAATAAATACATAAATAGATAGGTTTATTTTTTTTGAAAAGATACATCATTATTAATTTAGTAACAGTCCTGGTGGGAAGACAATATCACTTTAAATACATAAACCGGTTATAAGTCACAATTTCAGTAACATGAAAAATATGCATCTATGAATCCAAAAAAT